AGGACTCCTGCTGACATGCCTGGCTTGATGCTACCATTTTTAGCCTTTCCTGTCCTGTATCCTTCTGAGTAAACAGGTGCCAGGAGTGGCCTACTCAGGTCTTGCAAATTTGTCTAGTTGAGTCCGAGACCGCCCAGAGTGATCAAAGTAGTTCTTTTCAAAGAATTGATAGTAGTAGAGAGTGGATGACTCAGTTGGTTTTGACGTGAGATCAGTGGGGGTAAGTAAACAATCAAACACAAGCAATTGTCATCCTTTTTATAGGAAAGATATCTTTCTCTTCTGGACTCCATCTGGAAGAAGGATTTCTTAAACAATTTAACAATTTCTGGCTTATTTTCCTCCTTATGAGGAAGAGGGAAGATTTTCCTGTCACTCCTCCCCTGCTCCCCGCCAAATAGACACAGTATGCTTCATCCTCTTCCTTCTCCATCTCATTCAGTACTTATTGGAATCCAGAATTGTACTTTAGGTATGGTAGGCACAAGTTGGGGACACTTTCATTTTTTACAGTTGAAGATATTGGAAAAGGTTCAGCTAGTCTTTATAGTTACAGCTTTTGTATATTTTCTCAAAGCAGTCTAATTTGCTTCTTTATTTTCCTTTAACCAAAAAATGTTGAACACAATGAAAAACAAACCAACCCAAGACTAGGTGTTCTTAAGCATTTGAAGAGGTCTCGTTTTGTATCCACGTTTGTGTTTTGTTAGAAAGGTATTTTAAGGTAGTAATGGTAGATAAATGTATGTAGTACAAGGTGCATAGGCACACCGTGAACATGTGCTGGATATTTAAAAATTGAGTCTGTTGAATAAATTGTAGCAGGACTTGACTGACCAAATGTTACATTTCAGTGCCATTTTTCTGCTTTTTAGTCTGTGTCTGAAAAGGTTGAAGCTCTTTGATGCTAACTTTGTAAGGATGTTTTGATGAAAAATAGTTTGAACAGACTCTGGGCCACAATTAGCAAAGTTTCTCTTACTGAACACATCTTCTCTTATCATTTGATAACTTATGATGGCTTTCATGATATTATAATGCTAAATATTTAAATAAATCTATAATGCCTAATATCTCTTCTAGGAATTGCAGTGTTACAGTTTATAGGCGATGTAAAGCTAGAACGGGTGTTACTCTCGTTTCACAGGAAAAAATTAGAGTAATTGAAACATAAATGACCTGTTTTGTGAATATTGAAGTTTTGGGTATGGTTTCCAACACCAAGCTGACAACCCCAAGATAAGGCACATCTTCATACATGATTGCTTGCAAACGGAACACAGAGCATACCATAGCTGCCTGAGTACCTTGCTGCCATGTTGCAGTTGAAATACAAATTAGTTGTGACCATCCTGTTTAATACTGCACCCTGTCTTTTCCCCTCCCCCATTCAAAAGTCCCCTATTCTGCTGAGACTTTGTCGTTTTTTGTATTAATTACCACTTTCTAACATAACGCTTAATTCCAAATTCTGCTGGAATTTGTTTTATTTGATGTTGTATTTCAGGAAGTTTTGTTCCAGTGTTGGTAAATTAATACTCCCTTGATATAAAGGGCTGTTCATCTTTTAATGGTAGCAGTGGTGGTTGGTGTATGCTGTTGAGTGGATTCTGATTCATAGCCACCCTTCAGGGCAGGTTAGAACTGCCCCATAGGGTTTTCAAGGCTGTAAAACTTTACAGAAGCAGATTGCCACATGGTTCTTCAGTGGAGCGGCTGGTGGTTTCTGACTGATGACCTTTCAGTTAGCAGCCAAGCACTTAACCACTGCGCCACCAGGGCTCCTAACAATGTCCAGAAGACACACTGTTTTTTCCTTCTTTCTAACGCTCTTTCTCCCTTCCCATTCTTTACCCTCCCTTTCCTCTTTCTCCCCACAGTTCTGTTGTCTATTGCAGGACAGGTCTTAACAGTCTTAACCAAACAAACAGAACCCTAGATTTAAATTAGCTTAAAGCTGACCATAAACTTCAAATTACATTGCCTCCTGGTCTCCTGAAGGAGAATCTGGCTTCTCAGTTTTTTTTTCCTTGAGTAACTAATGCAGCACTAATGGGGAGAGTTCATTTACAGTGTTCAGATCCTTGTTGTTGGAAATCTTTGGTTGCTTTGATATTTGTGTATTCAGTTAGAACTGGATAAGGATGAGGAAATTGACACTTAGTTTCAATATAATTCTATTTATAGATGGTTTTCAGACTTGTTTTTAAAAAATAATTACAAATACACAATTTACTTGTTTTTCCTCTTAGATTTATTTGTAAATGAGATTATGATTAACCGTTAGAAAATGTGAAAATAAAATATCTTTGGCAATAGCATTTTAGTTCACATTAGAAGTGATGTTTGGTGTCCTGTTGTCTTTACCATGTCAGAAAGGTTAAAATACAAGCTGAGTTTGTCTTTAATTTTAAAAAATATGCATAATAGCTATCATTTCTTCTCACTACTAGGTGAAGATTAGCTAATATTAGCAAAATGTATGACCAGCTTTCTTTCTTGCTTCCATTTGCTCTGGCCAAGAGGGTTTATATCTAGGCTTTGTTTGAACATTTCTGTTGATTTAATTGTTTTTACATTATGTTGGGCATAAAAATGCCTTTCTATAACTTCTACTCACTATTTTTAATTTTGGTACTAGTATTTCTAATTTTGGCATGCGTGGCCGAGTGTCGATTGGTCTCTATGTGTCTCTTAATCTAAATATGAGCATCAGCAATTCTTTTTTGTCTTCTTTTATTCTTCTCTGAGTAACTCCTCTGTTTTGTAGTCTTTCCTTGGTGTCTTTCTGTTGATGGTGTCTTCATTATTATTGCCCTTTCTAATTCATTTTTTTGGGGCATTGGTTGAGCTTATTTTTTGTTTCTTATTGTTAATCTTAAAATCAAATTAATACAACATTTGATTTATTCTTGATAGTATTTTCCCACTCTAGTTTTTAGCACTACTCACTTTACAATGCTAATCTTTGAGAGAAGTTCCCCCCCACCCCAGCCCAATAGATTAGTAATTAGAATCTGACTAATGAAATTCTCTCCACAGAGTCCAGTAGTTCTCAACTCTCATTGGAATCACCTGGGAGAATTTTGAATGTAACAATTTTACCCTACACCAATTAAATCTGAGTCAAGGACCCACTGTGTCACAGTTAGGTTAGACTCTGGAAAGGTATTTCTGTAATCAAATACCCATCATTCCTGGCAGAACACTTCTCATTTCTGCTGGGAAACCATTGTTAAGCTGAATGATTTTTGTGTTGTCCTAGTCTAATTATCTATTCAGGTTCATGGTATCTTGAATCAAATATTCAATCCTTGGGAAGAATGAGAACCCAAATAAAATCTAGGAATTTTGTGAGTCAGTTTTCTCTTCTAACTTGTCAAGTGCCAAAGAAACCGCTTGTGTGGTCTTAGGCAAATTTTGAGTAGGCAGAGTTTGATTTTTTTTTTTTTTTTTTTTAATTTTGTTGTTTCTTAGATCTTCATGCTATTCCTATTACCTCCCTTTGCCCTTCTGTTTCTGTTTCTTCCTCCCAGGCTACTTAGGGAGTAAAAGTTTAGCAGCTATGAGCTTTGTGTTAAGAAAACAATATTTCGGTCTGTCATATTTCCAAGACACCATAAATTATAACTAAAAAATTTTGTGATAGTTTGTTGCTGTACTTACACATTTTTTTAAAGTAACTGACAATAATGTGTATTTATCCATACATTTAAACATAGTACCTAAACCAAAGTTTGAGTCTAAGCGTCTTCTCATGTTCAGATTCTCTGTAATTGAAAGTTGAAGTTTCGATGGGTAGACATTAGTGCCTAAATAATCAATTTGACTTTTAATAACACTTGAAACTGCTCACACCAAACTTTAATTTTAGAAACTCTGTGACCTATTCTAAGCGAACTGGTGATTTTAATAGTCTTTAATTGCATTGCTTACTCATGACAGGCAAATTTCAGAGTACTCTATAGCTTTTTGTTTTCGTTTTTTCCCCCGCACAATACTGTAATTTTTGTATAAATTTTATATAAGATACAACCACATTTAATGCTATCAGTGGAACTAACTGAACTTAGGTATAATAATTAGATGATTAGACATCAGCACATGTTTAAGTTGTTCTTTGTCTGGGTATGTGTTCTTGAGCTACATCTTATTTTTTAGACAGTTGGGATCATACCGTGCTATAGTGCTTTTGAGTCCATTTTCCCCAAGTCGGTTAAATAACAAAGGGAAATGAAAAGCATTGGCAGTGACGGCAAAGCTGTGTTTGGTCTGACTGCTCTGCCTGTGAGTCTCACCTTAGGGTTAGTTTCCCTAAGATATTCTTGCTGTTATAGCTCCTTTTCCATTTCTGCCTACCTCACTGTCTGGCTGTCTGGAATATTTGCTGTGTGTGTGCGCCTCCCTGGGAAATGAGGATCGAATGGGGAGAGCACAGGATAGAATACTTTAAAGACTCTGATGTATGTACGGTATGCTAATGGGATTGTGATGTTAAAGAAGGCAACTAGCAAAGTCTTTTTCTTGAATGAATCAATGGAATTGAGAAAGTTCAATTGAAATGTTTTGATTTACAAATATGTTCTTGTTTTGATTGTTCCAGTTAGAAGTAATCACTGTTTTTTTAACTGTGCTTTCAGGCATGTGCTAAACAATTTACTTTGAACTTGTAACTTTTCTTTAGTCCAACAGTTCATTTAATAAAAATCTTTTTAAGTGGATTCATTTGGTAGAAGTCCTATTGTTTTTCTCCTCATTTTTAGGGGAAAATTTTCCTAAATTCTCCACTTCTAAGAAATTAATTTGCAACTTTTGTTTCTTAAGGATGCCAGGTACACTTTTTTAAATCTGTTATTGGCACTGGCTTCTAGATTAGCTTATGTTGCTACCTTAAATTATAAATTTTTGTTGTGTTTGTACCTTTTACTAATATCCATTAAATTTTCACAGGGGTTTATAAATCAAAATTACTTTTAGAGACTTCCAAGGTAGTGTTTTTGAAGATCAGTCACAATATACCATTGTGCTCTTTTATAGGATTTTCACATCTTAAAAAAAATACTTCTCTTATGTGTATGTGGCCGGTCTTAGAAGATGTCTACTGAGTCAGCAATGTCTGTTACTATGTTGAATGCCTATTCTAAAATTATTATTTCATTTATTTTAGAGCATCTTCCTGTCGTTAGTTGCTGTCCCGTCAGTCCTGACTCATGGCACCCCCGTGAGCATCTTGATGTTCTGAAATACAGATTTAAAAGCAAAACTTTTGTCTGGAGTCAAAAACAAACCCTACAAGCAGAAACAAATTTCATTACAAGAGGTAGAGCAAAATGGGTTTAGCTTATGTAATACGGAAAGTAGTTGATATTTTTATAATGTGACTGTGCGTATGCTTTTGAGTTTTTTAGTGGAGAGAGGATCAACCTTTAATGGCCGTCTCTGGAAATCAGTAGTTGGTGTCCAGAAGTCTGATAAGGGAGGCGTGATAAGAGAATGAGGCATTATACAGTTATGGCAAGGGCGGTACAGAGATTCCCAGGTTTCTATCTTCAGACAGTTGGTGGATAATCAAGGGAGGAAACTGATTTGGGCTGAACCTTGAAGAAAAAGTTGAGTTTGTGGGCAAAGCCAGAGTAGAAGGACATTTCTGGCAGAGGCAGGTGGTCTTCTGTGATGAGAGTGGAGGATGTTGAGTGAGTGAGATTAGAAATGTAGATGTACAGGATGCACATGATTGTGTTTTTCTGGACAACTTGATTCATTTGGGTACAAATGGTTTTACTGTATGTTCGGTCAGATCATCTTAAATGCACCTTAACATTATTCTTTTGTAAAATGTATATTTTTTAAAAATTCTAACATTCATCTTTGTAAGGTGAAGGATTGCATGGTATGGTTTATAAATATACTACGCAATGGCAAGAAAATAGGTAAAGGAGTTTACTAGGAAAACATTCAAGATAAAACCCCAAATTGGCCCTGCATATGTTTCTGGAAATTCCTCAGTTTTATGATTGTATTGTATATGCAAATTGGCATACCTGTTGACACACCATTTTCCACAGATTTATTCACTCTTCAAATCCTAGAATCAGATACTTATTCAGCCATTCAACAAATATGTATTAAATCACTATTGTGGGTCTTTCCCGTAAGAAGTTATAGTCTAACAGGAAAAGGAAGTGAATGAATGAAGAAAGCAAGGGTAGAGAAAAGATAATTAGAGAAAACTGAGATTACATACATTTTTGAGGGTAATGAAAGGAAGACTCACTGACCACAGAAAAGTAACCAAAAAAAAAACTAGGGACAGGAGGAAAAAAGAAAGACTAGCAGCTGGAATAATCTAATTCAGTATTCTACAAAAGTAGATGTGTGTGAGTTTGCATGTGTCTGCATACCCTAGGAGTGAAAATGAGAGTCCATTGGAGTTCTGTGTTGTAAGGAAATATTAGTCTATTTATGTTAATTTGAGATAAAAAAGTAAATGTTACTAATACTTAATAGGGTTGCTATGAGTCAGAATCGACTCGATGGCAACGGGTTTATTTTGGTATTTTTTTTTTTTTTTTTAAATATTTAATACAGAGGTTCAAATTTACGCTGTCATATTTGGCCTTGTTGTCAGAGAGTCCTATGTAACATAATGGTATCCGGAGGAAAGAATGGGAGTTCCACAAAGCAACAGCTGTCCTCCCATCTCCTGGTTCCATTTCAGGCAACTGCCATGTATTTCAGCGTACTGCTGTAGTCTACTTGTGTTTGATTATGTAAATTTATGGATTATATTATTTAGTTTTAACCAAGCCTCACAAAACTAATCTAAAGATTCCTGCAAACTGCAAATAGAAACAAGAATAGGAGTAGGAAACAAGAAGATGGCAGAGCTGATGCTTACACTACTGGAAAGAGCTCTTCACCTGCCCTGATCTAATCATTTTAGAAGATGGCTGAAAAAAAAATCACAGATTATCAAGAAAAATATTTGAAATGCAGATACACATTTACTATTGACAGTGACGAGCCTTGAGATATTAGCTAATGATGATATGAAATCGTGATTGAGAAGACGTTTAAAAGTTAAGGATCTAGAATGTTACAAACCAAAAAGTACTGTAAATAAGTAAAATAAACTATTAAATTATTTTTCCTGGCTTTTTCTTCTGTTTTGTGTGTTTAAAAGTGTACATAATTTAGAAGTACATATTAATTATTTATAAAGAAATAGAATCATGTATGCCAAAAACTTTCCTCTGGTAAAGGTGTACTGTTGATGTTTGAATAACAAGCAGGCATATATAGCTTAGAGCTCAAAAATTCATGGAAACTTGATAGTAAAATAATTGATGTTCGTAATACTGACCCTGAGGCAAACAGAGCCTAATGATAACCTAATTTTTGTTTGGACTTAGTCATGATGTTTATAGAGCACAGGTGCTGGAAAGGTTCTACCAACTAGCTTACGAGTGTCCTGTGCCAAAAAGTCTTGGGGCTCACACTCATGCCTGGAAGCACCAGAGGCTGATGGGATATTGGCATAACCATCTAAAATTTCAGTAAATGTGTGGTGCATTTAAATAAATATTATTTTAATTTCTAGATCTTATAACTTAATGTCTTCAGTAAATCAAGTAGGACAGATGACTTTCTAGTCAGTTACAGATAAAACCAGAGGCGGCAAACTTGAAAGGGATTCAAGTATATCTGCAGTTACTCATATTTGCTTAGTTATCTTTTTACTGTTTACTGGCTTAATTCGCTTCTTTGGTGTATGAGATAAAGCTCTTACATGTTATAGGAAGCACTCTTTTCTTTTCTAGCATCAGTTTGATGTTACCCTCTCACTCTTACAGAAGGTTATATTGTCCTTTAGCACATGGTGGAACCTGCTGTGACAGTCAGTGTTCCACCTGATGGTCCACTCTCATAGTGTGTGTGGAAAATACATTTTACATTGATCTGAAAGATTTCATGGAATATCAGTGTGCTGTGACTTTTACAATCAGGAAGACTGGGTAAACCCTGTAAAGTGTAAACTCTTAACGAGATGAAAGTTTTAATCAGAATTGTTTCAAAACTAAGCATATATTTCTCTTTATTATTAAACAGAATGTACAGAATGTAAGTTTACATCGTTCTTTGTGGCTCGTGATCACAGATTATTGAATATATTAAACTGGACCCTCGTGCAGTAGTTTGCACAAGTTGAGTTGTAAAGATTCAGTGTCTGGCACATATTACACACTCAAACACCGCTGCGTTTATGATAATTGATTAGAGGGAGGAAGATAATCACTGTTAGGGAGCTTAAAGACCTAAATAAATAGTATTTCAAATACGTAAAGTTTCATTAGTTGAAATTTTTGAAATTGAATTTGTTTTAGGGCATACTGACGTTTTACTTTCCTTTCTCTCAGCGTCAGCAACAGCAGCTCGTGATTGGCGGTACCGGATATTCAGTTGCACATCCCACATCAATGCACTGCCAATGGTAAGAATTCCACCTACTGCCAATGTCAGAGTGTTTTAATTGCTTTTTATTACGCTGTTGTTTTAAAGAATCCTTAAAGGATTTTGAAGGTTTCTCATGATTTGACAAAATTGGATCTGTGTTCCCAGACTACCACCTAAATTGTTTTAATACATAATTTAAGGTGCTTTTAAAAATAAATTTTGAATATTAAGTTTAAAAAAACCTTTATTTTGAAGACTTCCATTATCTGTAGTTTTTTAACCTCTTAATAGTTATCTAGATGAAAAGTATTATTTAGCGATGGTCTTGTTTTGACAAATGAACTGTATTTTTTGAATAGAATTCTTGTTAAACATAATTATAGTAATAGTTCTTGTATATTTGTCTATCTTCTTACTATAATATATTGTCTGTTTTGGTGTATTTTATCTTAATATATATTTATAGTTAATGAGCAATTAAATGGCTAAAATTTTCCTAATTTATTTTAGTTAGCAAGTAATTTTAAGGATAGCCACTCTTACCTATTTAAAATGATCTAGAAACCTTTCACTGTGGTGTGTATATAGTAAAAGAATATTGGACTCTGTAGAAGTTGGAGTTTACTCTTTTTTCTGAATATGCTAGGATCTTGGATGACTTTCTTGCAAGTTCTGTTGTAAAATTAGATGAAAAGATTGGAATTGCTTAATTTCTAAAGGTTATTCTAGCTGTAGTGTAAGTAATCTCTTCATTGTTAACTAGATTTCAGAATGATTACCCCTTAAAAAAGTAATTCCTTATTGCAATAGTATTGCTTATATGTGTTTATATATACTGGGTACCAGGAGAACGAGGAGAATGAATTTTTTTTTTTTCTGTAGGATAAATTACTTAAGCAATAATATCTTTTATTTCAAAATATTTTTTATAGTACATTAACAGAAATTCTTACTCTTTTTACTTAATTAAATTGTTATTTCAAACACTAAATCAAGGAACTATAGGACCTGATTAAGATTTACAGAATTTGGGGGAAAATCGTAGATACATCAGTCTGAAGTGAAAACTCTATAAAATTAAAAACTGAAATAAGTGAATGAGATCAGTTATCTGTGAAAATATTTCCAGGAAATAATTCATTTTAATGGTGAACTTGTCAGTATATTGATAAAAACAAGGATTTACTCAGTCTAAACTATCTTCTGAATTCTTAATGGGGAAAAAAACCTTTTTTTTTGACCCGATACATGCTAGCCCTGACTAGCATACTGGCATGAAGAACATTTGTTTCCTTCTCTCCCCACTCCAAAACAATTGTGGAAAATTAAGTTCTTTTGTTTTTTCAGGGGTCGGGGGGTTATCTAACAGAAATGATGACATAGGTATTTGTTTTGAAGTTCACATTTAAAATCTCTGTTTTCATGGTTGTTGGAGTCTTACTGTTTGTGGTGTGCGTGCCCTCCCCCCCTCCCCCCCGCCCAATAATCAGCTGCACAGGCTTCTTGGGTTATCTGAGGTGTAGATATTATAAAACTGCCTATCTCTTCTAAGTGCGTATTCTCATGTGAATTTTTTGTATGCCACCCACATAGACTGTATTTTTATTTGTTTTTGTTTTTGTAATAGCTTATAAACTATATGGAAACCCTGATGGCCTAGTGGTTAAGAGCTACGGCTGGTAACCAAAAGGTTGGCAGTTGGAATCCACCAGGTGCTCCTTGGAAACCCTATGGGGCAGTTCTGCTCTGTCGTATAGGGTCGCTATGAGTCAAACTGACTTGATGGCAACGGGTTTGGTTTTTTTTTTTATCAACTATGTTTTAAATCAGATCATACCAAACATATTCATGAGTTTTGTTGACAATCCCTGAAATTTTTAATTGTGAAAATATACACAACAAAATACACACCAATTCAACAATTTCTACATGTGTAATTCAGTGACATTGCTTACATTCTTCAATTGTGTAACCATTCTCACTATCTGTTACCAAATTATTCTGCCACCATTAACATAAACTCAGTGTCCCCTAAGCAAAAACTCCCTCTTTATCCCTCCCTTCCACCCGTGGTAACCCCTAATAATTTTTGGTTTCTATATATATTTGCTTATTTCATATAAGTGAGATCATAAAATATTTGTCCTTATGCAACTGAGTTATTTTGCTCAGCATAATGTTTTCAGAGTTCATCCATGTTGTCCTGAAATCATTTTTATGTCATGATAACAAATTTTATTTATAAGAGTGTTAGTTCTATGTATCTGTTAGTGTTAGAGATGAAGAATATCCAACATTACAACTTGCTTACGGTCTTACCTGATGACATGCAGTAATGTAATACTGAAGCTATTTCTGTATATCTGCATAATGTGTTAGTAAATAATAAGTATTGGTTAAAATGGTGCTTTCCCCTTAAAGTTTAGAAATGCCAGTGTCCTGGGTTGAGCCTGTGTTGTATAGTATCTTCTAGTCTTTTTTCTGAAAATGCCATAAAGGAATGTTTTGGGAACATATACAATTACCCACAGCATTCTCCACCCCTATCCTTGACTTTGTTCTTGATGTAGTAACCATGAAGGAGTCATAGTATTCTTTATTACCTTCGCTGTTCACTTACCTAGATACCAGTTATTTTAACACTAATTGCATCTTAAATCATCATGATTTACAGCTGCTTTTCTATATAAATATTGTATACTACTTTCTATAATTATTTTAAATTGCATTATTAGAACTGATTGGCTAACAGGTGTACATTGCTATTATTTTAACATGAAAAATTTTAAGCATATGCTAGAGAGAATAGTATTATGAACTCTTACCCAGCCTCAGTAGTCGCTAATCTTGTCTCATCTTTAACTATTCTGTTCCCCTACTACACCCTCCTCCCCCGAATTATTTTGAAGGCAGTCCTATATTTTATGATTTCATGTATAAATATTTCAGTACGTATCTGTGGAAGATATAAACTACTTAAAAATATATAACCACATACCATTATCACATTATACAAATTGACAGTAATTTCTCATTATTACTGAATATCCATTTAATTTAAATTTTCCTGGTTTGCTCATAAATACGTATATATTTACAGAAGCACAACAAAGTCCATATATTACATTTGGTTGATATATATAGGTTACATTCTGCCTCTTTATGTATTTTATTGGATTTGACATGAAATTTATTTGTCCTGTAAATTTTTGTACATTCTGGATTTTACTGATTGTATCCCTGTGGTAACATACTCCTCTTTCCCTTGTATTTTCTGTAAATTTGTTAGATCTAGAAGCTCAATCTACTTTAGGACACCCCCCCCCCAACTTTGGAGGATTGGGGTGGCAGGATATTTCATATATACTTCCATGAAGAGGTACATGGTGTTTGGTTGTCTCTATTTCCAATGTTAATAACCATTGATGATCATTGCCTAGATCCCATTATTTCCATGAGAGTGTACAAAACTGCTGGTACTCTGATTCTCTCAAGCCTTCATTTATAATCTGTAATATTTCTGTAAAGAGGAACTTTCCCCAATATCTATTTGGTAACCCTGGGGCACAGTTAGCACAGGAAAGGCATACTAAACATTTAATTCTTTCATTTAACAATTTTCAAAGTACTGCGTTGTTTCCTAGAATCCTAGAAAGGTAACCAGTGAAGTTTTTTTTTAATACTGTAAGATCATGGATTTAGACATATCTGATATGTTTTATTCCACTGTTGTTTTCATTCTTATTGATAATCAAATTGTCTTGGCCAAACAAGCCTTGTGAAGTTATTCTGAGTCTTTTCGACATGACTCCAGTAGTCTTTGATCGCTTCCTTGCTTTCTGAGATAACAAGATGTTCCTAAACTCATCTTGTACATATCCCTTCCTTCCTTAGTCCTCTAATCTGCTGTGTATCTAAGAAGTCCTGATTCCTTTTAATGGAAAGCAGATTTATAGCCACAGTCCAGTGCTAAGGGTGTTCGTTGTTTCTGGTTGGGGGAACAATGTATGTGCTTATGATGTTTCTGATTAAAATTTAGGATTTCATTTTTAATTTAAATGCTTTTATTTCATTTTTATCTTTTCTCTCATGCCAAAAATCTTGTTTCCTGACAATATTTACATGTTTCTTTTATGTAGTATTAAAACCAATACTAAAATGATTATACTTAACCAGTACCAGTTGCCATCAAGTTGATTCCAACTTATAGCGAGCCCCGGTGTTGCAGAGTAGAACCTCACTCCATTGGGTTTTCAAGGCTGTGGCCTTTTGAAAGCAGATCACTAGGCCTTTTTTCCATAGTGCCTCTGGGTAGAACACTATTAAAACACTTGCTGATCTTGCTATTTTAAAAATATAAGCAAATATAAGTGTATACTTAACATTCTGGAGATCACCTTATAGTTGTATATAGAAGTTGTCCTGGAGGATTTTAATTTAATCTTAGCAGTCAGTAGAGAGCTACTCAAGGTTGTCATGCATAAACTTTAGTTTATTGTAAGGTAGTTATGGCAAGGCACACAAGTAAGACCTCAAGACGTTCATTTATCACTGGAGAATCAGAATTACCAATTACAATGTTGTTCAGTGGTTAGAGTCTTAATCGTTGATTTCAGGCTTACCTTTTACGAGTGGTCTTGGGAGGAAAGCTTGACCATGACTTGAACTCTGTGGAGGTCCCTTGTAGCTAGGGTTTGAGGTCAGAGGCAGTAGGCAGGGTCTCCTCTTCAGACGGTGCCAGAGTCTAGAGAGGAATCTTTTGCCTCTGTCTTTTCACAAACAGTGAGCTTAAACCCACTGCTTAAACAGTTTTCTAACCTTGGCCTCCTGTGATAGGAGCCAGGTGATGTCATGTTTATTTTTTATTTTTATTTTTTATTGTACTTCAGGTGAAGGTTTACAGAACAAATAGTTTCTCATTAAACAGTAGTACACATATTGTTTTATGACTTTGGTTAACAACCCCGCGACATGTCAACCCTCTCCCTTCTCGACCTTTTTTTTTTTTTTTT